GTTGGGTTCTCCTATGACGATACCCTATTTACTACGAGGAGTCCTTCTTCTATCCGATGTCTTATGAAGTGATATTTTCTATCAATGTACCTGGATCTACCATGATCCCTTGGTTCCTTGGTTAAGGCGACCACACTCTCGCTATTACAGAAAATCTCCATAGGCTCCTTTCTAGCTGGTATGACTTCAAGGTCTCCGATGAAGTTCTTTAGCCATATTGCCTCCTTCGACACATCACTTGCTGCTATGTACTCTGATTCGCACGTTGAATCAACTACAGTCTCCTGTTTGGAACTTTTCCAAGTTATTACTCCTCCATTCAAGGTAAATACTCAGCCCGACTGAGAGCAGAAATTATCTCTGTCGGTCTGAAAGTTGTCGTCACTATACCCTGTCACTCTTATGTCATCACTCCCACAGAGGGTAAGGACCCAGTCCTTAATCCTCCACAGGTACTTAAGAATGTTCTTTACCGCAGTCCAATGAGCTTTACCAGGATTCCCTTGATATCAGCTGACCATGCTAAAAGCAAAGGCCACATCAGGGCGAGTACAAGTCATAGCATACATGATCGAGCCAATTATGGAAGCATATGGTACTCAACTAATCTCTGCTATCTCGGCATCAGTACTCGAACTCTAAGTCTTACTCGGTTTGGTATTGCTCTAGATAGGAAAGTCACCTTTCTTGGAATTCTCCATGTTGAAATGTTTCAACACCTTATCCAAGTTGGTACTTTGACTAAGTTGTATTAGCCTTTTACTCCCATTTCTCAATATCCTTATCCCTAGAATATAAGCAGCTTCCCTGAAGTCCTTCATAACGAAACACTTCCCAATCCAGGACTTAACCTCCTGCAAGGTTGGAATGTCATTTCTTATGTGAAGTATATCATCCACATACAACACCAGAAAGCTAACTATACTCCCACTAGCTTTGACATATACATAGGACTCATCCTTGCTTCTTGAAAATCCAAACTCTTTGACTTTCTCATCGAAACAAAGATTCCATCTACGAGATGCTTGTTTTAATCCATAAATGGATTTCTCAAGCTTACACACTCTATTAGGGTACTTTGCATTGACAAAACCCTCTGGATAACTCATGTAAACATCTTCATCCAACTTCCCATTAAGGAAAGCGGTTTTGACATCCATTTGCCATATTTCATAATCATGAAATGCAACTATGGTTAGCATAACCCTTATAGATTTAATTTTTGCTACTGGTGAGAAGGTCTCATCATAGTCAACTCCATGAGTTTGAGTAAAGCCCTTCGCAACCTTGCAACACTCGTGTATGCTATCCATACATAACGCTGGACCCTACATACTTTTGAATAGTTGATCCCACCCTAAGGCATTCATCAAACAAGAACAGGAAATAAGGCCAAAACAAACTTTCTTAGGCTATAAGATCTTAATTATGTACGTTCGTGATGTTTACACTAAGCAACTGCAGTAATGATGTCAATTTCATATAAGGAAAAACCCTAGGCTATCATTCATCATATAATCAGGCAACTTTATCATGCAATTCCTGAAGATTCCTAGCCTAGTACTATCATGATGTTCTAACATATCATAATATCAAATAGTCGTATGGTATTTTGGGGTCTACTTACTGGCTTCGGCTGATCGTACACTCTGCATCCTCCTTTAATTATTTTAAAAACCTTTTGAAAATCTTTTCCTTAGTTTGAGACTGGATTCACATGAGTGGTCCTCCAATTCACTCGAACTAAGGCTCTGATACCAATTTATAACATCCATAAAATTCAAGTCAATATAAAACTTTTTAAAACATTCAAAAACCAATATTTATTACAAATTTGTTTTCAAAATAGTTCCATATCAGAGTATCCTAGATACAAAGTCATAAAATGCAAGGAGGTGCACGATCACGCCTTCGCCTTCCTACGATCATCCGAAGTACCTGAAACGAAATCCAAAACTGTAAGTCGGAAGCTTAGTGAGTTCCCCCAAAATACCGATACATAACAAATAACACATATACGAATAACAACATGTAATGGGTCTACAACTCTATAGGTCGGATTACCCTCGAGCCCACAATGTGAGTTTGGCTTGCCTTTCGGGCCTACAGCTCATATCTGGCTTACCCCCGAGCCCACAACATAATTCTGGGTTGCTCTCGATCCTACAACTTATGGCTGGCTTGCTCCCTCAGTCCTTGGACTGGAATACAAAAGATTAGCCCACAGTATGAGTCTGTCATGCCCTGCCTGGCCCTCAGCTCATATCTGGCATACTCTAGGGTTTTTGGCTACCGCACGGAGCAGTAAAACCTTAACCCATCTGCACAACATATCGACATATAACAACTAAAGGCACATACAGATAACAAAACAGTAACGCAGGTAGTCCATAGCAACTAGCATGCATAACGATCTCATACTCAACATATCATCAACTACTAGGATATCAGATCCAATGGGACGGCCTTAGTGCCTTTGACCCCTAAGTATAGTGAGGACAACTCACCTCACAAGTAGCTCGGGATGATAAATCTCAAACTCCGCAAATGCAGCTCCAAACTCAATCCCCTACATCCACCAATGATCCACTTTCATAAATTCTCAAATTACCAAAATACCCCTATAAGTCAAACTGGTCAACCTTTGGTAAAAGTCAACGGTCAAGGTCAATCGTCGAGTGCAGCCCACTGACTCGTCGAGTCCTTCCAGAACTCGAGAAATCGTGAAAACCCTGGTTGACTCGCCGAGTTTCCAAACAACTTGTCGAGTCCGTGCGGTGTCCAAATGTCGGGAAAACCCTAACTGATTGTCGAGTCGTCTCACTGACTCACCGAGTCCATGTAGAAACCAACAACGGCCAATCTTCATCTGACTCATCAAGTTAACCATGCAACTCATCGAGTCCCTTCATTCCATTCCTCATTCAGGCATTTTTAAGCTACTCCAAAGCTCCAAATTGCATATCCAACCTCCTAGGGCATGGTTTCCGCGTAAAGTTGCAAACTTTACGTAAATGCAAGGTCCTAAATGCCAAAACCAAGCAAAGGGAGAAGTTTTAGGTATGGTGAAGGCCATAACTTGCCAAAGACTGGAACTTTATTACTATAAGGGCTTAAAGGAGTCCAGATCTGAAGTTGCAACTTTAGATCATGCCCAATACCCGAAATAACCCACAACCAACTAGAAAATGGCCCTAAACCTTTGCATGAAAAGATCTAGCTAGAAAGAAGTCAAGGTAACAACTTGTTGCCTTCAAGATGATGCCAAGATGAAGTAGAAATTAGATCCACAAGCTTCTCCTTGCTCCAAGCTCCTTTGACTTCAAGCTTTCTTCACAAAGTCCACCTTCCAAGCTTCTTAACACACAAAAATGGAGAGTAGGCGCGATTAGGGTTTTCTGAGCTCAAGAGGGACGGTAAGGGAGTCAGAAGGAGGCTAATGACCCTTTAAACATGATGTAAAACTCTGGAAATTAGGGTTTCATTTTTCAGCTCCTACTCGTCGAGTTGGGGTCCTCCAACTCGTCGACTAGACCCCTTAAATTCACGTGGTCTGAATCGTTTCTACATGACGAGTTGGGGCACCTAACTCATCGAGTAGGTATAAGAACATGACTATAAACTATAAATTTTTATACCTAGGAGTCGGGATGTTACATGTTTATACTGAGTTATGTGATATTATGCAGTTTTGTCTTTGTGATTTATGTTGTATATATTGTTCTGTACCTTATTGAGTTAGGATCGAAGGGTCCAAACCGAGTTGTAAGACCGGAGGGTCTTCACTGAGATACCGGAGTGGAGGGTTCAACCTAAGTTGTGAGACCAGATGGTCTTCACTAAGACACATGACCGGAGGGTCCTTATCGAGTATAGTCATGAGAGGCTAATTATTTGTGTGTGATATTTGGGGAACTCACTAAACTTCGTGCTTACAGTGTTGTGTGAAATGTGTTTCAGGTATCTCTCAGGATCGCAGGAAGGCGTCAGCATGATTGTACACACCAGCTAGAGATTGTGTTTTGAGGATTTTGGGATATTAACAAACAATTTATTGTCTTGTGTTTTGAACAAATTATAAACTTGGGTTTTTAGAAATGTGAAACTGTGTTATGTATGGTTTTAAAATGATAATTTTATTTGAGAGTTTTAGAGTGTTACATCCGAAGACACAATTGAATGCTTGGATCACTTATACAATGACACCCACATCTGAAATGAGCCAAATACTTCCTTACCCGAAGCCCTAAGCCTTGTGACAACTAATGACTGGGCCACAACCCCAAGAAACGGAGCAAATCCAAAACCGGGTGTTACAATAGTTTGGTTGAAGAGGTGGATGGACATACAACAATTCCATAGACACAGACTTCAACTTGATTGGTTCCAACATAATAAATTAATTTTTTCTTTAATCATTTTGTTTCTCCATATTTGTATTAATATGTAAACTTTAATGTTTTTATAACAAACTATATACCATCAGGTTCCACCTGAAGGAGCACGCACCGTATGTATTCAATCTAAGGAGCACACACCGCTTGGTTTAATATCTTTAATAGTGCAATATTTTTTTCTTTTCCAAACTAGTGTAATGGGCTTGACTAAAGTGGGCTTAAAAAGCCAAAACCATGAAACCAAACCGGAGTCAAACCATTAGTAATGGTTTGGTTTGGTTCGATTTTAATTTTCAATGGTTCCGTTTCGGTTTGCGCTTGACAATAACCGTTACTAACGATTTTGTTTCGGTCTTACCTAAAAACCAAAAAAACCGAACCGTAAACACCTCTATTGAAAATAATAATTTTCCTATCTATGCATTATTTTTGTACATTATTAATATAAAACTTGTACAATATAAGATTCGCATTACCATTGAAAAAAGAAAAAAATACATTTCAATAGAAAAAACTCCTCTAGATAAAAACTTAAACAAGGTTTGTCATGCTACATTTTCTATTCGAAATCTTTGGTCGAATCCTAGAGCTTCTTAATTCAAATCAATTACTATAAACGTAGGGATCATGTTCAACAAAAGGAGAAAGTCCCTCAACATTTCCTGCAGGATCATACTCGCACACAACATAAGTGCCTTTATTTTTGCAATATGATAACGCACAGCCAACCTTTTTGGTGTCACGCCACATAATTTGTGTATAATGGCCACATTTTTTCCCTGGCATACATGAATTGGTTGCCTTGTCATAATAATTATGTTCTTTTATCCAAGCGTACACAGCGTCCTTCGGGGTCCATTTGGACGCACCATCAGCACTACCCCAAAACAGGTTTTCACCGTAGGGCCCATTTGAATGCTTTAAAGCGCAATCATTCGCACGTGTTGATGCATACTTGCGTGCGAAATTCGCAAGGCTTTGATCATAGGAAAATGCTGGCAAACCTGAACGGAGACGGGCCTTGTTATGAGCTTCAAGAAATTCTTTGTCATTTTGTGAGATGGCGTTTGTTTTATATGCTACCAAAAAGATGACAAACGTATATGAAAAAATGCAGGTTTTGGTTTGTTTCATTGTGTAAGATAAACAAGAAGATTAATTGGAGACAGAAATAAGAGAAGGGAGAGAACATATGGTCTTATTTAGTCAAATTCAACAATTTCCCCATAAAATCGACTATCCATTCACCATTTTATGTGAATTACGTATTGTCACTTTAATTTGTATCAATTGGATTCATTAATTTTATGTATTATAGAAAGAAAAAAAAAAGTACTTAATTTTTTTAGAAGAAATGTATTGTTTTTTTAATACAACGGGATTTTTTTTATCTATTTGCTATCCATTTGTCATCAATTAATTTTTTTATCAAATAGGTAAAATAATAATAAGAAATTAAAATATGAATACATAAATAAATAACTAAATAAATCTAATTTATTGCATAAATTGATATGACAAATACATAAATTTATTCGTGTAACTAGGTGTGAGACACATATATTACATGGGTTATTTAAAATATATATATATATATATATATGAAATTTTAACAATTTGAAAAGTTTGAATTTATAATAAAATGAATTTTTTTTTTGAATTATTAAAATTAATGAGACTTTAATGTATTGAATACATTACATATATACATCATTTTTAATAAATATCTCACATATATATTACCTTACATATTAAATGTGGAATTTTAATTTAAATACAATAAAATAACAAGTGGAAAATAGAAAATTTAAAATTTCTACAAAATAGCATGTGTCCAAATGAATGAGAAGAGAACATGTAACAAAAAAAACTTTCATTTATTATAATAGATAAGTTATTAGCCATTTAAGAAAACAACTTTTTATTTTGGGTTAATGTGGAAAAACTATATTTTCTTCCCTAAGTTTCCCAATTCAGATTTACTTTTTCATGCATGACTACTCCTCATTTGATATTAATATTTTTTTGTTGAAAGATTTTTATACATTCAATCTTTTTTTACAACATTTTTAAAGCTCTTTTTACAGCATTTTAAAGCAGTTTTCGACAGCAGTTTTTTTACAGCATTTTAATATTTTTTCAGCATTTAAATCAGCCTTAAACTCTATTTTTTCAGCTTAAACTTTAAACTCTATGAAGCTTAGCTCACAAATACTAAAAGTGAAGTTTAGCACACAAATACATGATAAGGATGGAGTAAGGTCAACAACTGAGAAAGCTTAATCCTAAATTTAGTCCCAAGTTTTCTATAAGATATTAGACACTTTTTTTAGTATATCACATGAATTAGCATATATTTTGGGCATTTTTGTGATGAACTTTAGTAAATCCAATCTATTTTGTGGATTTGGGGTAATAGAGTCCATTTTATTGCTTAAAGGTGTTTAAATTTTTATTAATTGGTTGTTAAATTCCTTTATACTAATTAAATTGAGTAAATTTTCATAACCTGAATTTACGATAATATTTTTTAAAACTCTTTGAAAAAGCCAAGGCATCTAAACAAACCAAAAATAAAAACAGAGTACTATGATTTTGGTAAAATAATATGATAAGATAATTATGAATGCATATTACCTTTTTTCACATGAATGGAACAAAAACAAAAGTTGAGTGGTAAAACAAAAAGAGGTACATAAATAGAACAAAGTTGAAACTTGATTACTATTTTATCATATTAACGACTATTTTGAATTATCAAATTAACCATTAATTTTGTAATTTTGTGAAATTACTATGACTTCACTTAATGCTCCTCATTTTGTGAATCTAATGTTTTGAGTTTAAATTCATTATGGATAAAAAGCAACGAAGATGTACACGTGATGAAGAGAGATTATAACAAGTAGCGACAACACATAGGGTATCTTTCTACACCAATCAAAAGAAAATACTATAACAAGAAGAAAAAATTTACTTTGGTCCCATACAAAATGGCGTTAGGGGAGGTAGGACAAAACAATGAAGATAAAGAATAATAATAATATTAATTGTACCTTTGTGTTTCTCTACATACTATCTATGCATATAAAACATTAGCCGGCGATGATCTCTACGAAAAGGTTCATGCATATAAATATCAGTTAAAAAATATAAAAACAGTGGTGAATCTTTACTGAAAGAATCAATTACATATACATATAATAAATATGTGGTTACAAAGGATAAGAAAAACGTGAATGAACGCACAAGTACTGATAATAAATACAAGAAGTAAGCTGAAAGAAGGTATTAACCAAAAATGTTGGAAGGATAGATGACATGGGTAAGTCGGGGTCAAATTAAATATTCTTTAAAACACACACACACACAAACAAATGAAACTAGACCTTAGACTATGTTAAAAGTCAAAACTATCATGGTGCCCAAATTTTATGCCTTCATATTTTCTTGTCATAGGTCATGTTCTCGGTAAGAGTTAACTCCTTCAAATCTAAGCTTATATTGTCTTCTCACTTCCTTCTCGGACGCCCTCTCATCCTCGCACCCTCATGTGTGATTATCTCTGCTCTCTTAACAACAGTTGATGGTTGTCTTCTAAGTACATGTCCAAACCAACCCAATCTTATCTTAATTTTTTAATGATTGACGTCATTTCGAACTTATTCCTAATTTTTGTGTATATTTGTGTTTGTTATCTTGTCCAACAACGTCCCACATGCCCACCGCATCATTCACATTTCTACGATCTCCATCTTCCTCTCATGTTAACATTCAGATCCATACAACAGAATTGGCCTAATCACCACTCTATAAAACTTTCCCTTTATATCCATTTACAATGAAAGAGACAATTCATATGAGCTCGGAGTTGTATAAAACCAAACGTTTTTGCAATTGAAATATATATGCACAAGGTAACTATATATATATATATATATATATATATATATATATATATATATATATATATATATATATATATATATATATATATATATATATATATATATATATATATATATATTTCCATTGAAAAAACGTTGGGTTTATACAACTAGAGCTCATATGAATTATCTCTTTCATTGCAAATGGATATAAAGGGAAAGTTTTATAGAATGGCGATTATGTCAACTCTGTCATGACCCTTCCTCCATTTTAGTCAGGATTCATGACGGATCCATGTCATAAAGCAAGTAATTTGGAAGTAAATTTTTCAAAATGTAAGATTACTTGATAACATTCGTTCAAAGTATGTCTGTGGCTACCGTTTTGGTTAACTTGCGATTAACCACTAGATTTACGTTTATAATGAAAAAATTAATCACATTATAATGCTCATTTACATAATAATGACAATGTAAATTTGAAAACTCCAAATATTAAGACTGAACAATGGGTGCCCTTTTTTGCTTATAAACAATACAATTTTTTCCTTGGTCTAAAAACATGATTTGATAATAACTAATCTGGTTCTCCAATTTAGGAACAGCATAACATATGATATGAGAAAGAAACTGTGGGTGTGCATTAGTCTAGAAAACATGTATGTATGTATGTAATAAAGGCAAAAAATGAAGATGGAAAAAGACAAGACAAATAACAAATACAAATACAAATAACAAATACAAATACAATACAATATATAATAGTCTCCCTGACTGGCACAAGTGAGAAAACAAAACTAGAATACTATTAACAGCATATGTGTGTTTGTGTTTCTACCAAAAAGAACAAACACCAAGTACAACAAACGACTGAGGTTGTTTGGTTGGTTGTATGACAGAGATAAAATGGGAAAGTTTGAAGAAAGAATTAGTTCTCTACTTGGCCCATGCAACAGCATCCACCTCAGCTTGTGCAGCTCTATACAATTCCAATCTCTTTGCCAAATCCATACGCCTCTGCATTATGGCCGGATCCTCATCCAACAGTTTAGCCAATTGCTTTCCCTGTAGTCAGTGTTACCAAACAAAATTTTAACATATTATTTATTTGGACAAAAACCAAAAATGAAGAAGAGAGATAATTAATTATTACCTCCTTTGCACCCAACTCAGTGAAAAAATGGTCAAGTAAAGTACGTTTAGCCTCACGTACTTGACAAAACACCACCGACTTTGGGATGGAGTGTCTCAGCGTCCCAACCACCATATGAACATATGACAGAACATTTGATCCGATCCTACGAAGATAAGAATCATTGTATCGATCGAAAATGGAGTGCGTTGGGTTCCCGCCTTTTTCAATATCCTGTGGAAGCTTCCGGAAGAAATCAACCGTCAAGTAACTGCATTCCATATCAACCAACTGTATGGTGGCTTTCTTGCTTTCGTTTCTCATTTTATCTAACGAATCACAGGCTGCATTCATTACTTCTGCCCTCAGGGACGGGTATTGCTTCAACTCCTGTAATTAAATTAAAATAATTAATCCACCAAATTACAAATAAGCACCAATTTTGTAACCGCAGTTTCTTCATATTCTTAAAAAGACTAACCGCAGTTTCATTTATGGACTTGTGTACAAGATCCTTAAGTATACCATGAACCTGAGGAATATTATTATTATTTTAATAAACAGACAGAAGATGATGAATTTTGAAAAAAAAATAATAAAGTTACCGCATCAACAGCAGCCTCAGCGGGGCCTTTGATGGTAATTAAGGTGGATTCAATAAGACGGCGATAGCCTTGTTCGGGGGCTATCAGATGAGGCTGATAACCATCGGCTTCTGTGATTAATTTTCTCACATTTTCCATGGACAGTTGTTTGTCAAATTGTAATCTTTTTAAGGCAGCAGGAAGTTGATTATCAAATATGCTGTACACTTTGTCGCCACCTGGCCGTCTGTAATTGATTGTATGTAAACCATATCATTATCAACAACATTTTTCTCTCAATAACTTTTTACTTAACATTGAATTCAGAAATTGAGAAAATTAGATTTTTGGTCCCCAAATGTTTCGTTTCATAAGTTTTAGTCAAATGACTAAAATTGCAAATATCAGCTATACTCAAGGACCAAAAAATAGTCTTTATACATGGAACAGATAAACAAGAACCTCAAATGCAATAATTGATTAAGCTTGGGGGACAAAAATGATTTTTTATTACTTGTACAATTAATAGAA